TCTTGTAAGAGACAAAGAACTCGTTCAGCTGTAGTTGCTTCAGGTTTTCCAAGTCTGACTACAATTCAAGTACCAGTATGTTGTACCTAACTACCTTTAGCCCGCACGTAGGCATAGGATTCATAAAAATATTCAGAGTAGAAATAATAGGATATAAGAGAAAGATGCCATGATTACAACCAGCCTAGCAACTTTTTCAAAGAGAAAACATTAAGAAGAAATTGTTTCTTAATCAGCTGTACTTTTATGCTGTGCGAACCCCGCTGTCTAAGACACAAAGAAAAAAAACAACCAAGTTTTTATCTCAAATGGAATGTCAAACTGGCTCGTTGGTGCTCGTTGTTCACTAGATTTTCACGTTTGGTTGGATGTTTTATCGGTGAGTCAAAGGATTTACGGGCAAATTCTTAGTTGAACGAGATCCGCAATGTGTCCTGTTCAATCTTTCTTTAAATAATTAGTACTTTATAAGGTACATGAAATGTTCGTGAAACTCTATCATTAAAAATAAAATATGGGAACAAAAGACTGTAACACTAACAGGTTCATTTAGGTTTTCAACCAGAAACATATACAAACGGCTTTTCAAATTATTTTGGTGACTCCTTGCTCAATGTCAGAGTTTATTACAAGAAAAAAAGGTGTTGAAGGCTATTATTATTCATCCCAACAACGTGAAAAGTCATAGAACAAAGTGTTCTCAACACAGTCTTTGTCAGACGTTACGCTGGGGGAGGGGGGTTGCACAAATACGTACTAAGTTTAACTAACTGAACGAAAGGTGGTAGAAGAACGACCACTTACAAACACGTCTTTTGATGAAAGTAACCATCCATCCATTATTTTTCTTCTTCGTACATTTTGTCCCATGAAGTTTACGTACTTCGTCATCACGGGGGGCACGTGCCCCCCGTCATCACGGGGGGGGGGCACGTGCCATCGATAATCAAATTGGGTATATATCATTGGGCCACCCAATATTTTACTGACACTAAATTTGTGTTTAGTCTTTTTCTATGCAGTCGGCTGACAAGGTCAGCCGAAATTAGGAAACTACAGTTCCTTGACAAATTCTAAACATTACGCTGTTACTTTTTGTGTATTTGTATAATGTGTATACTTGTTATTGTATGAAACATTCTTATTATTTGTATGACTTACGGTCTGTAGTATACAGCAAACAATTTAATTTATATATATATATATATTTTGTATGTACAATACAATACTTGTTATTGTGTGAAATTGTTGAATAATATTCTGAGGCGTTTTTATTGATTTTCAGACACCTTATGTTCATTTCCGACTGTCTTCCCCAATGTATTGCACAAGCCTTAATTGTCATTAAATCAAACACGTTTAATTTTACTGCGTATTTTAGACATTGTTAAGAGTTTGAAACAAAATACTATGGCAAGGGTAGCTCGTTATTTGAATAAAGGGATGACTTGTAATTTTCTATGGACTGTACATTATTTTTAAAGTGTGATACACTAGTGGCACAGCGACAAATCTGCAGACTTACAACGCTAGAAACTGGGTTTCGATACCCGTGGAGGGCATTGTATAGCTTTGTGGTGAACTTCAAACAAACAATACACCATGAGATGATTTTTTTTCTGTGTATTTTTCTTTTTTTCTGTGTATTTTGATAAATAAAACTGGTTATTAAGTTAGACGTCTATCTTAGACACTTATAATATAGTCATGTTTCCATGGTAAAGCCGAAAAAGATAAAGTTATAATCTTCTAAAATCAGCCATCATTAGACAACTTAAGATGGTTGGTTTGGGTATGAACGTTATTGAATGTATTTCTGAAATACATGTTTATATATATATATATATATATTATATTTTCAGAGAAAAAACCAAGAAAAAACATTTGTGTCAGACAAAAACGTAAAATTTTGTGCTTTTTATAACAACCTCTACAGAAAATTCCTTGCCATATTTTGATGTTCTCACGATTTTCCTTTTATAGGATAAACGAATGCTATTAAAATAATTGCGTAAAACATCATTGTGATAAAGATAAACGCAGATTTCTGGACTAAACAATGTTGTGGGCGAATAGTTTGCGTAGAATTCTCCTCATTCAGCAATGTAGATACAGTAAAAGGACAATTTCGTAACGCCTACTAAAAACCCACGACATTCCGCAAGCACCAAGGTGAGTGAAAACGTTTTGTATTCTAGATACTATTGGTACCTTTTTCACTGAATTTCATGTATGTAAATGCTTGTATTATAAATTCAAAAAGGTTTAGCAAGAGATTGTGTTGTGTTTGTTTGTTGCTAAGCGCAATGCTACACAATGAGCTATATGTGCTGTGCCCACAACGGGTATCGAAACCTGGTTTTTAGTGTTATATGCCTTCGCACTTACCCGCACCGAGTCTCTGGCGGGCATCATGTTGTGTGTAATGTTATTTGATTTTTAGATTGAATCTTATCATAAGCTTATAGATTTCTAAGAGTCTTATCGTCAAAAAATCATGAAATGTTTCTATTGTAGAGAATATTATATTTGCTTGATTAATAAACAATAGAAGGCTACCGGTATCTTCTAAAGCTTAAATCTATAGGCAATATGTGACTCTTTACTGTTTTAGAGTTTTTAAAATCGTGTAGTTTGATCTTCCTATATTGAAGCTTACAAACATTTTTGAGAAGACAGGTGTAAATTATAATCGTAACTTTTACAATTTTGTACAGAACCTTAAAGACAGCAAAATATCTTTTAGCCCAAATATTTCCATTGTGTGTGTTTACAAATCGGTAGCTACACAAAGGATAGCTGTACCAACTAAAGGGATCGGACCTAGAATTTTAAAGTTAAAAACCTTAAACTTACCTCGAGGGAAGAGGGAGATGAAAGTATTTTCCTGACTATTTTCAATGTGTAGCTTTAGTCATTTATTAATTACACATTACAAATTGATTATACTTATTGTTAGGATTGTAATGAAAATTGTAATTTGTGAAACAGTGTAATAAGAGTAGCTTACAAGCTGGCGATAGATGGTGTTGATTAGCTGGTGCCTTCCCTGTACTATATCATTAGCGCAGGTAGCATTCTTGCAGCCTGGCATGAAATTCAACATACTGAAACACTATAAAATTGAGTTTTTACGTTGGATTACGGTTTATAACGGTTACTTAAACGTATATATATGAATGATATTAACATTGTCACGACTATCGCTATTAACGATACTTTCGGCCCTAATCGCAAAATATCCCATGATATTTGGCCAGCTTATGATAATTATGTTAGTCCTAAATACAAACACTAAGTTAGCAATACAAAATAATATTCGTAAGTTGCTGGAAAATGAAAAACAAATGCGCCTTGAAATTGCTTGATTAGCAGTGACGGGCTTTATTCGAAGGACGTCAAATATTGCTTTCGAACAGAATTAATGTTTGCATAAGGGAGTAGTCATGTTTTTCTCAGGGGAGAGGAGCTGGAGTGACGGGCTTTATTCGAAGCACGGCAAATATTGCTTTCGAACAGAATTAATGTTTGCATTAGGGAGTAGTCATGTTTTTCTCAGGGGAGAGGAGCTGGAGTGACGGGCTTTATTCGAAGCACGGCAAATATTGCTTTCGAACAGAATGAATGTTTGCATAAGGGAGTAGTCATGTTTTTCTCAGGGGGAGAGGAGCTGGAGTGACGGGCTTTATTCGAAGCACGGCAAATATTGCTTTCGAACAGAATGAATGTTTGCATAAGGGAGTAGTCATGTTTTTCTCAGGGGGAGAGGAACTGGAGTGACGGGCTTTATTCGAAGCACGGCAAATATTGCTTTCGAACAGAATGAATGCTTGCATAAGGGAGTAGTCATGTTTTTCTCAGGGGGAGAGGAACTGGAGTGACGGGCTTT